GCGAATCTCGCCTCTCTAATGCCTGCAGAGTCATCCCTTCCTCCTGTATTTACTTCCCGCGCTCGTTGCGGCGCAGTCATCGTCTCGCGCTCTGCTCGCGTTCCTCCCGGATCTCCTTGGACTTTTAATCGAAGCGATCGTCACGACGAAATTGGGAAAAATTTCGAGAGTCACGTCCGCGCGAAATTTCATCAGCGTCCATCGATTAGACCCGACGCCGCTGTCGATTTTATGATGCAGGGGCTCGGGGAAGTCTCGTGTACGTCGTGCGATGAATTGATCGAAATAAATCGTAAGAGACAATTGCAGACCGGCAGCTTTCTCCGTCGTAATGCTTCAATCCTGGAATTCCTACATCCACCACTACCATCGCAATTGAAAAACGCGCTACCGTTCAAGTAACATTTATTTGATCCAAGTGAAATTATTCCTTGGTAAATATTTTCTAAAAATGGAAATATAATCGACTATGTACAATATAATATTTCTTTCGTATAAGTAAACATTTACTTGTATAAGTTTAAATTGCGTTTATGTTATACCGCCAACATTCTTATATATGGCGGTAAATATATTGAATTATGACGTTGGTAAAGCCAAAAATCACTAGATAGAAGTTGAATTCGGCAGTGGACCAAGATAAAATAAGTCCAAGGTGCCGGCACCTTCCCTTATATATGCCCTCAAACTATAAAACAAGATAGTATCTTGGTGGGATGAGAAACTTAGAAGAGATGGGGATTCGTAAAAGATGCCTGTGTTTCAGAGACGTATGTTAATATTCTCGAGTTAATTAGACGTGCCATTTTAGGATGTTAAATGACGAGTGAAATCGCGAATCTCGAGCGCGAGTCTTCGAGGGCGCGAATTCAGCGTGTCCTAAAAATAACAGGCGCGATGGAACAATCGCGGCGGTGATAACAGGAGTTGCATCGTCACAGGGCGAAGTTAGTGACAGGAAGTCGTGGAATAAGATTGTCATTTCTCATGTGTCCTCTCGCTCCCTTTCGACGGGCGAGCGAGGCGGTGCGCTCGTTCTCCCGAGGGGGAAGTACAGGCTTTTGAAAGACCGTATTTTCGCGACGAGAGAGCCGCTATCCACGCGTTATTACGAAGTACGAGTCGCTCGCTACATATGCGGGCGAAGCTTGTCTCCCTCTTTCGTTCGTTGCCCCGCGACTCATGTATTTATGCATTTCCACCGACTGGTTGTTGCTCGACTCGCATTCACGCACACACATACATATACACACGCGTGTGCGGTGTAGTAGTCGCGTCGAAAACACGTGCGAATTCGACCATGCTTGCTTCGCACAATGAAGAGAAATAATATTAGTCGACGTGAACGCCAGGATTTTCCCGCTGAAGCGGCGTCCGCGTGTGATAAAATGTCGCGGATGGTATGATTTTAAAGTGCAATAATGTGCGGTATCGCGCGCGCGAAGTTTCCTTCGGATTGGAAGTCGGCCGTCGCGGCTTCTGCCGCGTACTCGTGGCCGCCTTTCATTACACGAGAGCCATATTTACTCATTGCATTCAATTCGGATTCACTTACAGTATGATTTACTCGGCGAAGGCGTACCTGGAAGCCGGTGATGGGAATTTATTGGAGACGGAGGCTGCCCTAAAAGCCAGAACGCGATGCGCAGGGACGGGAGAGAGAGAGCAACGGAGAAAGAAGAGCGCGGAAGAAGGAGCGCGGATGGAGAAGAAGAGAGAGAGAGAGAGAGAGAGAGTGATAGAGAGAGAGAGAGAGAGAAATAGAGAGAGGGACAGCAGGCTAAGGGAAAGGAAGATAAAGGGTACGTCCTTTCCTCATATTCTATATCCTGTATAGTGGCTCATAAAAGTTTGTAAGGACGTCTCCCAAAACGTAAATTTATCACGATGCTCCTGTCCGCCAGTCGTTGTTCTAGGATTCTGAACGACTAAGTAACGATATTACATCATGGTTGCAATTCATATGGAAAATAGCTCCATCTGAGGATATCGTGTAAAAATAAAATTTTCTAGAGGATACGAGCGTACGGTTAAGTCAGCGATGATCACTTTCTTTAACTGGTATTGCAAAATTAATAGCAATGGGCATAGAGATCCGATGCATTTTTGGAAAAAGGAATAGTTACGGAATTTATATTGATAATTTATATCGGTCGAGGGGAATCCTTTAAGAATACACATTGGATCGGCAATGGAGTATATACGACGCTCCTTTATACGGCGATATTGGATTTTTATTTGCCTCCTGTGCAAATATCGGCCATATACAGCCGTCCGATGTCATTGTGCTTTAAAATACATGTGTGACTTAAATCAAGATGACAATAATTGCACGTGTCTGTGTTTGTACATATATATTATAGACACGGATGACCGACACCAAAACATTCGCCCCCCCTAATCTTGTAAATCACCCGATGTTACAAGAAGCTGTTATACGTTGTACGGTAATAAAAACAAGTAGCTGTTATGATCCTGAAGTAACCCGCTTTTTTACAGTTGTTCGTGTCGCTTCGCAATTTTTTCCCTAATTCCTAGGTTGCCAATCGCGTTATCCGAGACACGTGAAATATAATTTTCCTCACATGTTCCGCGAAGATTTTTCTGTTATGCACTCTAGGATTAGAGTATTCGCGCGGAAACACGAGGAAGCCTCTCGAGAGCGAAGCGAGTACCAGTCGTGCTCACCAATTTACACGCGGAGCCGGATTTCAGTCGATCGACGGGGGGGCACAGAATGCCACAGGGCGGAGGAGCGGTTGGGTGAAGAGGAAAAGAGCGTGGGAGGGGAGGAGGACGGGAGGGGGGAGGGGGTAGAGGACACAACCCCCCATGAACCCGAACATGAATTAAAGTTTTAATTTCTCTAAATCACTGTTCGCCCTCGAGCGCTTTCCACCAGACGGTCTGTTACTTATAGCCTTTGCCCTTTTTACCGCCTTCTTTTTTCCCATTCGCCTCGATCTTACCGGTGGCCCGACCCTCGCCAATAGGGAGAAATCGATATGCACTTATCCGATGACTCTTGAGACCCCGAATAACGAGCCCACCCCCGATTTTTCTTTCCTTCTTCTTTTTTCCTGGTTTTTTTTTTTACTTTTTTCCTCCCTCTCTTCCGAGCGATAAGCAGGACCGCCGGAAATCGTCCGGCCTCAAATATCTGTCAGACTTGTCGATCTTCGGATTTATTTATAGTTTGGTCTACATTCCGCACGCTCACGGAAAGAACGAGAAAGAGAGAGAAAGAGAGCACACGCGGAATCTGCAGGCGCAGACTCATCTACGCGCTTCATCGACGCCCGCTCGGCGCGCATTCCGCGTTTCCACGTCGCGATGAAATTAACCGACGCCGGCGGGAGATGAGCAACCTAACGGTCTCTCTCTTACGCCGGAGAAAAGAAGTTTTCAAATTACCCCCGCGCAAAACAGTAATCAGCCAACTTTCCGGTTAACGTCTACACGGTATCTTTACATATCGCTCACTTTCTTGACCGTTACACGAGAACTACCGGGAATTTCTTCGCGCTGTGTAAACGAAAGTCGAGATGACGATCCATCTTGACTCGCTCGTCCGCGCCTCGAAGTTCCGCCCGCGAAGCTCCGCGCGTTGTGTGCGCAAGGACTCTTCGCGCTCGCGAACAGAGAGACGTTCGCTCGCGTTCAACGTCGATCGATCACGCGGAATGACCGAATAATCCGGCCGAACGGAGGAGACGCGCTGGAGACGAGATTCAAAAATCGCTTAGCGCGATCGGGCTGTCGCGGCGAGAAGAACGAACACACGCGCGCAGGCAATCCCGTCGCGTGCGCTCGCGTTTTCGGGCCGAAAGGGAGAGAAATGTGAGGGGGAGGGGGGGG